TAAGGGACCTATTCTTATTTTTAACCCCAAATAAGGATGGCAATGGAAAACTTTGATACTGGGACGTGGCTATCTCTTTGAATGTTGCCTTCCCGAATCCAAGCAAGCAGTAGAGCCACTGGACTTCTATTTTCAACTCATTGTGTTGCTTGAGACACACAGTGTGAGAGCTCTGGCGGAGGATGGAGCCTCTGAGTGCCCATGTGTGCACGTCTGTGCGCTGTGTGTAAACAAGCACTGGTGGAACAAGATAAAATAGCAGAGGTGCCTGAGTGTCCACTCTGTGCCAGGTACTCTATTTCATTTACTCCTGTGACAAACCAAGGGGGCAAGTTTTATTATTAGCATTGCGTATGAGGACAGGGGTTAAGGATGGTGAGGTCGTTTGCTCATGCTCCAGGACCAAGTAAGAGGAAGAACTGTGACTCCAAACCAATCTGTCTGACTCAGGAGGCAGAACCCTTCTTCACTTGGAGAGGGTAGGAATATGGAGAGGAGGCAAGAGAATACCCCAGGGACAGGGTCTAATAAATCCTGGGAAAAAACCTAAAGAAGTCCGAGCCAGGTGCTCGTTCTGCCCCTGACAGACTCTACTACTGACTGGCAGTCTCCTTAAAATCTCTTAGTCTGCTCGCTCCCTACCCTCCTCCCCCTTTTTTCCCTTTCTCTCTTCCTCCCTTCCTCTTCTTGCCTGATGGAAGTCCATGCTCTGTGATGACTCTGCTCCAGAGTCTGGATCTCCCAGATGCTGGAGTTTGGGTCTCCTCGTCTAGAACTGGGTTCCTATGGGAGTGGTAGGGAAGCCAGGACCCTGCTTAGGGACCACTGCCTGGGTGGGAGACAAGTCTTTCAGTTCCTGTTATGAGCTGGGTCACCTGGGGGAGGTGCCCAGAGGTGAAGCAGAGCTGGAGAAGTGCTTCTTCCCAGGCAGACTGCTCTTGGCAGCTAGGCCTACAGTGACCCAGCACCCACCTGCCTCATTTCTTGTGCTTCCTCCTAGTGAGTGGTAGTGAGCACTTGTGGCCACAGGTGGTTCTCCTTAACCAGTCACCAGGGCTCAATGTGAGTCACCCAGATGCAGCTGTGACAATGTGGCTTTCATCTCCATCACAGGGGCCCATGTGGGAAGGAAGTCCCATTTCTCCTTCTCTGGCCTACATCCCTCTTCCCAGGCTGGTGCACTGTCACTCAAGAGGGGCTGTCACTTCCCTGGTCTTGGGAACCTCTGCAGAACTTCCTCGCCTGAGTACTCCTGAGCAAAGAGCCAAGCCAGGGGAAGCCTGTGCATATAAGGCCTCAATTTCAGATTAGATTCACAAATTTAATTTCCTATTCCTTAATTTAATTCTGCATTTTAGTTTTGTTTTTATTATTTACATGGATTCCCTTTAATGATTCCAAATTGCTGCTGCCCTCTAGCAGTATTTTGTCTTAGGTTAACTTCTTGAAAACCGATCAGCATTGGAGTTTATTCCGCGCTGGGTTTAGTTATTTTCTGAAATGAAGCACAATTAAATTAGAATAATGAACACGCTCTTTAGAGGATTAATTCATAATAAGCAGGCCATGTGCTATAGCTCACAGAAGAAAGGGCACGAGGATCGAAAGCTGTTTTTTCTGCCTAAATATGAAAAGTACATTCTGCAGAGCAGAACAAATCAGCTAATGACATCCAGAGCGCTGGCCAGCCCCAGAGCAGCACAGAGCTGGCATCTTGAGTTAGCACAATCCCTGCCGACACTGCTGTCTACCTTCCGTCCCTGGGAAGGCTGGCAGCGGGCAATTCGTCTGGCTTCTTTCTCCTCAGCACAGCTGATAGAGGCCACTGTGGGCCGCCTAAATTCTAGTCCAGGAATCCCCCAGTTCCATAGTCTGGGGTTTCACAAGCTTGATCCTCAGAGCTTCCTAGAGCCCAGTCACTCATCCATTCTTTCATCCAAAGGATGTTTTACTACCTCCTGGTATTTCCCACACATCCATGAGTGCAGCCTTGGGATAAGCAGTGAAGAAACAGACAAGGACCTCCCTGCTGTTGAAGGTTATATTCAAGATGCAAACACGGACAATAAGTGGTAGAAATAATAAGTAAATTATGTATTATGTCAGAAGGTCAGTGAAGAGTAAAGGAGGGTTGAGAGTGAGAGGTCTGTGTGCGCTTTACAGTTTTAGAGGGGTGGGTTTGGTTAGACTCATGGAGGGTTGCAACTGAGCAAAACCTTGAAGGAGGTGAGAGGGCTGAGACACTTTGCCACTTTGGGGAGTGTCTCTGGGGTCAAGAGGGTTCCAGAGGAAACAACTACAGCAAAAACCCTGGGGTAGGAATGTGGCAGGCAAGTTGAAGGATGAGGCCAGTTGGGGCTGAGGAAGGGAGTGAGAGGTGATGGGGACTAGGTCAAGTGGGGCTTGGTGTTTGCTCAGCGAGAACAGAAAGGTAGGGCAGGGTTTGTGAGCAGAGGCAGGGAATGATCTGACTTTTATTGAAGATCTCTGGCTTCTCACTGAGAACAGACTTCACAGGGTGAAGGTGAGGTGGGGTAGGGTGGAAGGAAGGTGGGAGACCAACTGTCAAGAGGCTAACAGCTTCTAAACCTCCAGCCTCAGATTTTCCCATAGCCTGTTCTCTGACCCCCGCCTCCCATCCCCGAGGTGCTGAGCTCTTGCCTCTCAGCCACACATGGGGGCTTAGAGTCTCCTGTAGGGCCCTGCCTCCCAGAAGGACCAGAGTAAAGATGCTTTAACAGCCAGAGCTTACACATTATGAGGCATGTCCAGACACATTATTCCCTGCTCAGCCCTGGAGACCCCTCTGCAGCCCCTCCCAACCTCTCCCTCTGTCCCATGCAGCAGAAGGCCAGATTCTACAGTGGAAGGGGCCTCCCAGGCAGGGGACAGTCCTGCACCTTCCCTTGGTTGTTTCAGGCACCCCTGAGAGGGAGACACCCTCTCAGCCAGGCTCCCCACAAGGTATGTGAGAGGCTTCTGCTGCGCAGCTGCCACAGAAATGACAGATCAAAGCAGGAGCGAACCAACATCTGTGGCAACCAAAGCAAGGACGAGGTACAAACAAACTGAATGAATAAATAAACAGCTGACTGAGTGATGGGTGAGGGGATGAATGATTAATGAAGAAATGAACGATTGATGAATAAATGAAGGTATGGCCTGGAGCCTGTTCCTGACCCCTGATCCTTGGGTATATTCTCTTTTGGCAACTGAAGATTAAAGGTTCTCCCAGAACCCTCACTTCTGGAATTCTAGAATGCTAGAGTTGGGATCACACCTACTTCTAAGCCCAGAGGTGAAGGAAGCTTTGGCTCAGGAGAAAGGGCCTTTGGCTGCAGGGGGTAAGCTGGAGGGAGTAAGCTGGAGGGAGGAGGCTGGAGGCAGCTGGGGCTGGGCTGGAAGACACCCAGGCAGCTCCAGGATCTGGGAGGGGAGACTTTCAAGGATCTGGGAGAAGAGAAGGATGTGGAGGGAGAAGAGAAGAGATCTGGGGTTTGCTTCCCAAGTCCCACATTGGATATTCTGCAGTTGGTGGGCCCCAGGTTAGTTTCATTCTAGAGCCTATGAGGATAAGAGAAGTCCATCTCAACTGAGTGTTTGACTGTATTATTTGACCGTAACAGGCAGGAAAATTTGGGTCACTGAAATTGCCAGACATTTCCCCAACGGGGCAGGCTGGTGAAGACCCACACACTGGCACCACTGAGTTTAATGTGCCCCCACTTCCGGAAGTTTGTCTCCCAGGGTGTGCAGGCCCCGGGCCCTCTCTAGCAGGAGAAGTGCCCTGCTGGTGAAGAGTTCAAGAAGTACTGTTTGGAGACCCTGAGTCCTCAGCTCCACTCAGTTTTGGAGGAGGGCCTTGCCTGGGGGTTCTCAGGGAGTTCCCAGACTGCTCAGAAGAGTATATGTAGGCATTACACTTTATTTTCTGAACCTCAGTAGACAAAAATAATCAAAATGGTGCCCATTTACTGAGTGCTTACTAAAGGCTAAGAGGTCTGTCTTCTTTATATCCTTTGCTTTTCTCATCAACCCCAGGATATAGTTATTTTTACCCTCATTTTACAAATGAAACTGAGGCACAGAGAGGCTAAGGGCCTGCTGATAAGTGGTAGACCAAGAACTGAACTCAGAGGGCCATTTGGAGTTGACAACTGAAGAAACTTTTCCTGGAGACCTTTTCCAACACCTCTGCTGATCTTTCTCTCCTCTGACACGGTGGCTCGTAACCGTTTGGGGGGGGCTGCTGATACTTTTGAGCAAGTGATAAGAGTGTAGAACCTCTTCCTAGAAAGTACACATTTTGCATTTTGCAAAAGTACATTTCCTAGGCAATTTCAGGGGTTCACAGGCCTCCTGAACCCTGGTTTAGGTATTTACTTTCTGCAGCAACTGTTTTTCTTTCTCATAACCTAAGGGCACAGGGCAACCCTCAGGCCCCCCAAATCACCCCAGTGGGGAATGGAATCAAACAAGACAGGTTAATCAATAAAAGCTCACTGCATGCTCCTTCCATAATTGCATTCCTGCCTTTTCATCCTAACATCCAGCACTTAGAGTAATTGCATTCCAATCAGGCTCCCAGGTCTGGGCCTTGGGGCCGGCCTTGGGACCTGTTGACATGCCATCTGCTTCCAGAGGGGTTCTGGAGACCTGGGAAGCCTTTTAAAATTCTTCTCTGTTGTCTTAGCTATAGGAGAGACAAAGGACCCTGTAACAGATCTTGTCCCAAATCCTACTTTCTTAACCCACCCATATCAGCCTGGAGGCTTCCTTGGTCCTAGGCTGTCTTTCTGAAGTCAAAACAGTAGCACCTGGTATTCCAAGTAGATGACCTTTGGAAATACCTGGCTCTAAAGCAAGGTGGCCACCACCAGCTCAGGACCAGAGAATCAAAAAGCTTGGAAGCTCCCTCAGGGGCCAAACTATTGTGCTGTCTCAAACAGTGCCAGTTTCACTCATTTATTTCTAAGATTTATTGGAACCTCCCTAAAGGGCTCCTACTCTTTGCAAAGAAAACCCACAATGCCGGGAAATAGGGAATCTCCCTCCCAAAAGGGGGTTTCATAAACTCAGTTATATTATGTTATATTCCAAATACATATTCTATATATTATGTATAAATAGATAATATAACTTCCTTTAAGGAAGGTCCATATACTCTGTAGACACAGCGAAGTCCATACAATTAACAGAAAAAGTGCAGGGTTCATGATGATTTGAGTTTTGCTGTTTCCCAAAAAGAAATGGTTCATCTGCTCACCCCCACCAAAGGAATGAGGCATAAAATAGAGAGGTCTGGTGTTTGTTATATGACTTACAGATGCCCCCTCCCCCACTGCAACCCCAGATGCTTCTTCTCTATAAAGAAAAGTTTCCTCTGGGATGCCTCATTCTCTTGGGTTTGAGCCCCAAGAAGTCCCCCCCACCCCTAAGCTCGGCTCCCTTGGCCTGTTCCCAGGACTGAGGGCTGACTCTCTCATCCCTGCTGAGACCCTTGCTCAGAGGAAATGACTTGTTTCAGGATGGAAACATTCTTGGTGCAGGAGGGAGAAGAGATGGCATCTGGCCTACAATGGATGCCATGAGTATTTCTGGGTGCTTAATCCCCCTCCAACATTATAAGCCTTGCAGCTGATCTGTAGTTGGGCAGAAAGAGCATTGGTTTTCAACAAGGCCGGCCAGTGTTTGAACCCTGGCTCCACCAATTCAGAGCTGTGTGCCACTGGGCAAGTTACTTCACCTCCCCTCAGCAGAGTGTTCTCCTGTGCAGAGGCTGAGGGTGAGGGACACAGATTTACTTTACAAGGTCCAAACTGAAGAGAGAACACGTGCCATGGCGCCTGGCATTTGATAATATGGGTTTATTTCTTTTCCTGAATGAAGGCACACATTTCTAAAGCATTTCGCAGACATCAGAAGATGCTTTCTGGCTTTGCCACTTCCCACTCTGCTCCAATCTGCCTTATTCTAACCTCTTCCCCCACCTCCAGCAGATAGCCTAAACTCCAAATCATAGCTTTTGGCTTTTCCCAGCAAACCTGGTTCACACCAACAGATTTAGTGTCCCTCCTAGGGTTCGTCGCAGTGCCAGTGCAGCCTCAGAAATGGGGATACCCTAGACAGGTCCATTTGCCTCTTCTGCTTTGCCAGCAGGATCCTTCTGTCCAAGTCCATCGGGGGTGCTGCATGCACCAGAGGTAGTGAGACTGCAGACTTTTCATGGCGTGGGCTGGATCCTATGGCTGGAGCAGGTAGGGCTGTGTGATGCCTGCTCCCCACACTCCCTTGATACTACCAGCGTTCACTGCCCTCATGCTCACACTCACCACCAGCACCCAGCACCCCAGCAGGACTGTCTGAAGCTCAGGGAACTAACACCTGAAGACACAGGGCAGAGGACCCCAGGCCCTCCAAGAGGACTGGCACACATTGGGACACACCTTGGGACACACCTTGGGTAGGTTTCGCACGCTTACAGGTTGTTTTTAATGGAATCTGGAGGTTGGGACTGGGAGTGGGGGAGGGCAGAGAGGAGGTGAGAAGGGGTCAGAACAGGCCAGAGGAGATTAGAGATTTAATTAAACTGTCTGTTTGGGTAAGGGCTTTAAGGTGCAAAGCTGTTTTGCATGATAATGGCAGTTTATCTGAATTCCATTCTACTGAAGGAAGCCTCTTTTACACTTAATTACTGTGGCTACTAAGCCTGACTTTGCCTTAGTGCCCCTTCTCTGGGCAAGCAAGGCAGCTTTGCCATTCAGCTTCATCTGTGCTGGCCCCCAGGGACAGACCCCCAGTCATCTGTCCCTATAGGAAGCATCTCCTTGTACCAGGCAGTACCTAGATGGGTGGAGGGCCTTTAGAAATGACTCAGCAAAGTCAGATCTGGCTTGGGGGTGACCCTTGGAGTCCCTGGAGAGGTCTCTGCACCAGCCTGAGAATGGCTTCTGAGCTTATCCTACTGAGATAAGGCCTGGGGTCTTAGCTCCCAGGACCCCCAAACACCAGTTGGGACTAACTTTCACCTGGTAGGTTCCTGCTGCCCTGGCAAAAGCCCAAGTGTGGTTGTTAAGTGAACTTGGGCCAGTCTGGACCAGAGGGACTTCCTAGCCGACTTGGCAAGGTGGCCTGTGGGCAGAGGGGTTGCATGTGTGGTGGTGCTAGAGACTCCCGCACAATTTTACAGGCAGAAGGACAGCATTCAGCACTTATCAGGACACAGGGAGAGATGGAGGGAAAGTCCAGTGGAGGGGAGCAGAGAGCCCTGATACGGATGTGGGAAGCCACAAGGAGATAGGCCTCCATGTTTGGAGATTCCAGCACACATGGGCAGGCTAGGAAAGGGTTAAAGGGTTAGGCAACTCCTGTTTCCAATCACTTGTCAGCCTGCTTTGCTCTCAGCCTTATCAGCGGGGATAGGGCCGCACAGGGAGAGGCTTTGAGTGCTCTCCTCTCCAAGCTCTCCCCAGACTCCAAGCTCTCAGCCTTCTCTTTACCTTCTAAGGGCTCCTGGGCTCAGTCTGGGGGGAGTGCCAGGGGTAGGGACTGGGAACTCAAACACATTTAATGGAGTGGAGTTTGAGTTACTAAATGCAGCCCAGGGGGAGGGGTGGTGGTAGTGAGGCTGTAGAATCTCAGCAGTAAACCTTCAGGGTCCAACTGGCCCTCCCCCCCCCCCATCCTCACCAGGAAGCCAGATTAGGGCAGGATGTATCTTTGCTCTTATTTAACTCACACTCGGCTAACTCCCTTCGATGCTTCTCCCTTTTACAATTACCCCTGAGTCAGAAATCTCCACTGTGTATTTGTGTAAATTATTGTTGGAACTGGTGAAATTTCTCTTGGTAGACTTGACTCATGCTAGTCTTTTGAAAGGCATACAGTTTTTAGTTCCGCCGTCTCACATGGCTACTAATCTACCCATTTCGAACAGGTAATTTGATAGACCTATTTTCTATATCTTCATGCAAGTTATTGGCTTAAAAGATGTTGCCTGGGAGAGTGCTGAGGGCAGAGCCATTGGCCATGCCAATATAGATTGTCCCCTAGCACTTACATTGACCCATGGTCAGT